TTACTCTTGTTCAAGTATTATGTACCGATTGAGATGGATTAGGAATGTGTAATATTTTGAATTGAAGTATTGCCACTACTGTATTTGGAACTACGTTCTCTTGTATGAATGAAATTATATAGCTAGTAGACATTTTAATGTTGCTCTTGGCTGCAACACAGAAAAAGGGCATAATGCAATAAGAAAACTTAAATGTCTACTAGCTATATTTAAGGAAAGGTGCTAGAGACCTCATTGATGTTGAAGACAATTAATTGAACATTGTAAGATACATTGAAGACAATTAATTGAACAAATAAGCTTTTTATCATATTAAAAGTGACAGAGCTTGAATACATTTTTTGGTTGATCAAATAAGCTTTCAACCATATTCAAAATGACAGAACTTAAATACATTTCTTGGTTGAACATGCCTAATGAGACCATAACGACAACAATAGTGAACTCCTTAAGACCATTCAATATCCATCCACATAATGTAAAGCATTTAATAATTGTAAGAACGCCCAAGCAACTAATCTGGGGGTACACTTTTGCCAAATATGAAGTCCCAAGTCTTGTAAATAGCTATAGCCTGCCTAGTAAGTCCCATGTCATGTAAATATCTTCAAGCATTGATTCCCTTATATCTTTGACAATAGCAACCTATTAGCAAACTACGTATTAGAAGAAAGCCTCAAGCAATATTTAGTAAATGACGCAAAAATAGCTATATACATTCTGTAGACCAAATAAAGAAGTTGGGAATTAGCAGAAATTAACAAGAAGGCCACCAATCTATGCTAAAAAAGAAACAAAAACATTCTCAGATTTTTTGAAAATGAAGGCATCAGTATACACCAGATAAAAGGAGGCTGCCTGAATTTTTCCTCCAATTTACACAGCACAAAGTTGCAACAACATAAATACGAAGAAATGCACAGATTATTTGCCAAAGAAGCAACGTATGAAATTTACCACACTAGAAATTTCGCAAATTCAATGTATACAAAATGCACAGCTTATGTTCACGTTTTGAATAGTCAGAAAACATTCAAGCAAGGTAATCTCTTCTGCAGGGAAAAAAAATTATGTTGACACGGGATATGCAATTTGTGGCAAATGAAGGATATTGTAATAATGAAGGCATCATTACCTGCCCATTAGCACATTGTTAACAAGTTTCATTTTTTCTCCATTTCCAAAAGGTCTTGAGAAATAAGGATTTCTTTCCCCAAGACATCAAAATCAGGCATTACTTCTTTATAGAATGCCTACAATTTCAACCAAGCAGAACTTTATACAGACATGCACTTACAGCCAAAAAGAAGGAGAAATTCAAATGTTACTGGAACAAGTAAATTTTGTTGATCAAAGAAGCAACATAAATATTTCTCGTAACATTTGTTCAATAATTGGAATTCATTACACAAACCTGAGCCTCCATGATCCGATAAATATGGATGATAGTATGGCATTGGTTGACCTACAATGAAATATGGATGTTGTTAGTTGCATATTTCAAATGACATCGAGAATTTATCTTTAACCAATTGATGGTGTGAGCTTACCTTGCGGACTATACATAATATTTGATGACGATGGCGCGATGTAATTTGACATCGGTAATATCCCTGCATGTGAGAATGGTGTCACGACAGTATACTATGAGACGGGAAATGTTGTTGGCATCGAATATTGTGGGCAAGGAGGCGGAGGCTGCATTAAGTAGTTTTGCTGCTGAGCTTCATGAACGTGGACAGCGCTCTCTTGCATATCAGTATCTCACCCAGTAGGTCTCCTTCCTTTGCTTGATGTTAACTGTAAATTTATGTAGTATGAAAGTATTCAGTACAATCAAATATTTGGATCTGTTTTTTTAATAAATTAAATCAAATTTACCTTTGTGTTCTTCGAACTCGACTCCAGCGGACCTTTCTTCCTCAATTTTTTGGGCGGTCCCTTACTACGCTATGATTTCGGATCTCTTATGTTCACGTTGGCGTCATTCTAGGAGTCGATACACTGATCAGCTACTTGAATAGTATGATGTGCGATCACATTACTTCTAGTGTGCGACCTTTTCGACATCAAAGGATCTTTGCACTGAAGTTTTATCCAATCCAGTGTCACACGCGACCTCCCTTCATCGTCCGCAGCAAGGTTAGCCAGTTGTGAAAACTTATGACATAGTTCATTATATCTCAACTGCTCAGGAGAGCTGATCTAACCGTCATAATTCACGACAACTCTGGTGTGTGCTCGACCAACGTCTCTTCTCCATCTCTACAGTATGTACCTCTTTAGAAGAGACGTGACATTGCAACGAATAAGAACCGTAATTGCATGGCGACAAAGAATTTCCCTGAACTCGAACAAATGGCAGCTACAAATGATGTTACGGTTCTCTCTCTCAAATGAGACGAAGAATTTTTTTTCCTTCGTCGCCCCTCATGCATAACATCCTTGCTCACCTCATACATAGTCAACGTATCTCCCTCCAACGTAGATATGACATCGTAGTAAACCTTCCCCTTGAACTCATCCTGAGCTTCCCTGAATTTCGCAATGGTATAAACTGACTGAAATTGTAGCTCAAATTCGTATTGTGTTGCACATGGCACCATTTGCGAAAATGATTTGAAATTAGCTTGGACCTCTTTCTCTACTTTGCATTACAGTGCTCGTTCGTATTGTTCCACAAATTGCTTCAGCGTGGCCTTGAATGCATGTAACCATCAAAGAACGCATTCATACTCTCGGTCCTCTGTGTCATCGACATCCCTGCCCAAAAAGTAGTCTTCAAAAAACATGGAATCAAATGGCTCTGTTCTCATACAACCCAAATAACCATTCATTATCCTGCAAGTTGTACTTGTCAATCATTGCAGCCCTACCCATTCTCAAATTCTTCAACAAATTGACAATCATAAACTAATACATGTATAGCCCCAAATATCGAAGACTTGTCATCATGGTACCCAAACCTTTTAGACAACTTCTTTAAAATATGTCATAGATATCATCTACGCCTTGCGTTCGAAAAAATGATTTTGTTAGGTCTAAAGGTGTAATTGGCGATTCTGTGGACAAAATGACTAAATTGTAAATTTGTAAAAGTCAGGGACTCAATTGTACAATGTTATAAAAGTCAGGGACTTGGGGTGCAATTTAGCAAAGCTAGATAGTAAGGACTAGGGTTTGAGTGTTTGGTTCAAATCAAAGTCGCGGTGTCGAAAGTTCGCTCGCTGTTCGCCCTACCATCACTCGAGCAAAAGAAAGCAGAATGGTCGTCACTCGCTCGTCGCTCGATGTTCGCTCGAGCGACGGTGTTATATGGAAAATCGTATTTTCGATTTCTGGAAAGTTTGACAAGGCTTAGGACTCTTAATTACCCCTAACTATAAATACAAAGGCTGTGAACGTGAAAGAGAGATTGCCATATTGTAATTTATATAGTTATCATCTTCAATATTCTCTCAAGTGATCTAAGACAAAACTGAACAAAGAATTCATCTATAAATACCTTGTGATCCGGGCAGTCCACCGTTAGGGAAAACATCACTATTTGTGAAGAGAAAACACCTCGACTTCTTTATCTGGTGAGGAAGAGACTCTCTCATTGGAAGATTGAGAGAGGTGGACGACAAGCGCAGGAACTGGACAAGAACATGAGGTTCTTGGAATTTCACTTGGTGATACAATCAGCTAGAGACCAAGAGGTTGTATTCGACAGCATATTGGGCTGCAAGAGGTAGATCGGGAAGCTAGCAGGGGACTAACACTATCTACGATAGTAGATCGTGAGACTGGAACAAGGGGTCTGACTTGGTACGGAGTTTGGCATAACTTGTACTGGCTGGATTGGTATAGTGGAAACTACTGGCTTGGTTCAGGAGTTTTACTCACGTTGGGGTTTCTCCGTCATCATATTGTGAGTTGGTGTTGTTACTATTTTATTTACTTTACGCAAACCGACAATTCAACATATGCTTAATTGGACGTGTATGTTTAATCACCTAGACAACAATTAATTTGTGACTTGTTACTATTAATTGTATTAATTTCGCACGTAAGGTCAAATGGTAAATTAGAACGTAAACCTGGTAATGCTAAAATTTGAATTTGACATAGTAAAGCATTCCCGTGAATTTTCAAGTGATTGTAGAATGTTCCCTGAACTTTCAAATAGTATCAGAGCCTAAGTGCGAATCCTGACCTTACATTAGTCTAGATGAGTATGTTGTTGAATGTGTCACACCACTTTGATGGGAACAATTATGCATATTGGAACGTGAGAATGAGGGCGTTTTGAAATCCTTAGATGAGCGTGTTTGGCAGATTGTGGTAAATGGTTGGTCAGCCCCTAGTACCACAATAGATGGTGTAGTCACTCCCACCCCTGTCGAGAACTGATCTAGAGCTCAATTGGATAGCTGTAATTTAAATAGCAAAGCCCTCCATGCCCTATTTATGGCAATTTTCCCCGAGGAGTTTAGGATAGTGTCCATGTGTGAGGTAGCAAAGGAAGTTTGGGATATTTTAGAAACCACACATGAGGGAACTCAGGCAGTTAAGAGTTATAAGCTGTAGATGTTGGCCACTAGGTTTGAAGAGATAAGAATGAGAGATGATGAGTTGTTTGATGTCTTTTATGCGAGCTTAAACGACATAGTAAATTCATTCTTCAACCTAGGTAAGAAAATCCCCGAGCCTAAAATAGTGAGAAAGATTCTTAGATCCTTACCTGAGCGTTTTAGGCCTAAAGTCACGGTAATTGAGGAGAGTAAGGACATAGACACTATCAAGGTAGAGGAGTTAGTTGGATCCCTCCAGATCTATGAATTGATCTTAGACAATTTAGCTAAGGAAAAATTCATAGCCTTAAAAACTGCTAGAAATATCCGGATGGAATCTTCTGATTCTGATTCATCCAATGATGAAAAGATGGCCTACCTAACTAAAAAATTCCAAAAAAAAATAGGAATAAGAAAAAGCCTCAAGAGAGACAAAGAGATGGCATGAGTGAACCTAAGAAGAAATCTAAATTCGTGAGATGCCATAACTGTCGCGATTTCGATCATGTGAGGAATGAGTGCCCTAGTGCTAAGAGATTTGAAGAGAAGGCTATGAATACTACTCTCACTGATGACAAGTCTAACTCAAAAAATCAAAGTGAGAAATCCACCCATGAAGAGAGTGGAAAATATGTGGCCTTCGTTGCTAGGGGTAAAAGTGGATCCGATCAGGGGAGTGAAAAGACAGAGGACTTAGGTAGTAGTGAAGATTATGGAGATGAGAGTGGAAGTGTGGAAGATCTAGAAACAGTCTACGATAAGATGTATGAGGAAAGCCTCAAGATCTTAGCCACTAACCAAACAATGAGCAAGAAAGTGAAAGAGCATAAGCTAGATAAAGAACAGTTAGAGGCCCGCGTTAGTGATCTCACCAATAAGAATGAGATGTCCTCTAGGAGAGTAAGTGAGCTGACCATTGTGAATGAGACCTTAGCTATTCAGGTTAAACACCTTGAGAGTGAGCTAGAGTTGTCTAGGTCTCAGTTGCCTTTTCTAGCAGTTCTGAAAGGCTAGATAATATTTTAGGAATAGGCAAGCCGGCTGGAGATAAGGGAAGTCTAGGTTTTGATCTAAATGTTGCTAGTATATCACAGACCACCTTTGTTCGTGCTACTGACCAGCCAAACATTGTGACTAATCCCATAACAAATGTTGTGGAAACTTCAGGATGTAGGTCTACCATACGTCATAGGACTCGTCGACCTGGGAATAGAAATCAGCGTAAGCATATCATAGGTCCTAGGTTTATCCCTACATGTTTTCACTGTGGAAAGTTAGGTCACATTCACCCTAAGTATCATCACTACATGAACAATAGGAAAGACTTGAGCTTGAAAAAGAACAAAAATCAGGTGTCTGTTGGTCAGATTGGATTCCTCACTGATCAAATGAATCGTTTGACTCAATTAGTGACACAGCTATCTGGAAACAATTCTCGCTCTAAACAGGTTTGGGTGAAGAAAAGCGATCTCTCAAATTTGGTTAGAGATCGTGGTACTCTTAAAGGAAAGAGCACTTATATACCTACTTGATTAGGTATTTTTGATACATGCTTGACTCTTAATTGACATATAGTTGTTGCATGCATCACATGTTTATTGTTTGTTTTTGTTTTGTTATTTTTCATGCTTGTGCATTTTCACCTACGAGTTTTGACGCATGCATGATTATTTTTTCCTTTGTGTGCTTGATTTTATTTTATTTTGTGTGTGGAGCATTCATTTTAGTAAAAACGAAAAACACAAAAACATTAAAAATTTGAAAAAGACAAAAATAGTTGGTTATGGAAATTTCTACAGCATGACACATGACTTAGAGCTTGCACGTTGTGTCATATAGGAGCTAAAATTGATAAGCTATAGAATAATTTTCATTGCTTGGTTAGGTCTAGTTGGATTAATATGTATAAGAATCTTCATGTACCATCTGCACTGCACACACTATGAATTTGTTAGTGGAACACTACATGTCGATGGGGTGACTTTGAACATGAATTGACCAATTTCTATAGACCTTAACCCAAAAATTTTCCCCAATTTTAAATGCTAATATCTTCATGTTCTTCTTTGAGACTTATTTGACTCGAGCAATTAAGCCTGTGGGTTCTCTTAAAACTTGGTGCCTATGGTCAACTGATTTGGGTTAACCGGCCTAAAGCTCGCTACAGGGGTCATTTTAGTCGCCTAATGGAGAAGAACCTGCACTTAAGATGAAAAATTAATAAGCTGGAGAAATGAGAAAAATATGATGAGTTGAAATACTTTGAAAAATTGAAAAACAAATAAGCTCATAGTAAGAGGGAGATAAGTAAAAATAATAAGTATATGTCCTACTACGTGTTACATGGTTTGACTCTCATTAGTAGGAGAACATACTTATTGACAATGATTGACATGTCCCTTCTCACAAAATTAAGGTTTGGAGTCCTGCTTGCATTGGATCAGTGATACTTTACATACATGAGTCACTTATATTATTACTCAATTCTGGACTGAACTAAGTATGTTGGGAGTTATACTACTTGTTGATTTTGCTTTTGCATGCTATCAATTGTATTTTTTATTATTGTGTGTTATTGCTAGATTGAGGGGGAGAAAAAATAATGATTGAGCATACACATAGGAGAGCGGCTGCATATGCATGCACATGACGCCATTGATTGTTATCACTTGCATTGCATTGCTATGTCTAGGGGTCGTTGCATTGCATATGCATGTACATGACGTCATTGATTGTTATTACTTGCATTGCATTGCTATGTCTAGGGGTCGTTGGGAAGAGACAGATACATTTACCTACTGCATAAAAACTTGAAAGCTTGCAGTAAGGGGGAGCGTTGCATTGCATTCCATATCACATCCATCTGTTTGAGTTTTGATGTTTAGTGGTGTTGGTGTCTTGGTTGGTGTTTTGATTGGTATCAATATCACGTCTCAAACTGTTATGTTGATTTGTGATTAAGAGCTTTAATTAATTTTTATATTTGCTGTATTACGTGCTTTTACACTGGATATATGAGTTTGTGGATTTCAGGAAATAGGTACACGAAGGAATGCAAAACTCAGTGATTGTCCTGATTTCATTTGTAGAGTTTTGTCATAGAATGTCAAAGGGGGAGTTTGTTTAGGTCTAAAGGTGTAATTGGTGATTCTGTGGACAAAAGGACTAAATTGTAAATTTGTAAAAGTCAGGGACTCAATTGTACAATGCTATAAAAGTCAGGGACTTAGGGTGCAATTTAGCAAAGCTAGATGGTAGGGTCTAGGGTTTGAGTGTTTGGTTCAAATCAAGGTCGCGGCACTGAAAGTTCTCTAGCTGTTCGCCCTGCCACCGCTCGAGCGAGAGAAAGCAGAATGGTCGTGCTCGCTCGCCACTCGATGTTCGCTCGAGCGAAGTAGCATCGTTCGCTTTCGCTCGCTTTTTGCTCGAGCGACGGTGTTATATGGAAAATCTTATTTTCGATTTCTGGAAAGTTTGACATGGCCTAGGACTCCTAATTGCTCCCAACAATAAATACAAAGGCCGTGAATGTGAAAGAGATATTGTCATATTGTTCTTTACATAGATATCATCTTCAATATTCTCTCGAGTCATCCAAGGCAGAACTGAACAAGGAATTCATCCATAAACACCGTGTGATCCGGGCAATCCATCGTTGGGGAAAACATCAGTATTTGTGAAAACAAAATACCTAGACTTCTTCATCTGTTGAGGAATGGATTCTCTCATTGCGAAATTGAGAAATGTGGACGACAAGCACAGGAACTGGACAAGAACATGAGGTTCTTGGAATTCCACTTGATGATATACAATCAGCTAGAGACCAGGAGGTTGTATTGAACAACAGATTGGGCTACAGAAGATAGATCATGAAGCTAGCAGGAGACTAGCAGTATCTACGGCAGTAGATCGTGAGACTGGAACAGGGGGTCTGACTTGGTACGGAGTTTGGCATAACTTGTACTGGCTGGATTGGTATAGTGGAAACTACTGGCTTGGTTCAGGAGTTTTACCCACGTTGGGATTTCTCCATCATTATATTGTGAGTTGGTGTTGTTAATGTTTTATTTACTTTACACAAACCGACAATTCAACATATGCTTAATTGGACGTGTATGTTTAACCACCTAGACAACAATTAATTTGTGATTTGTTAAAATTAATTGTATTAATTCCGCATGTAAGGTCAAACGGTAAATTGGAACGTAAACTTGGTAACGCTAAAATTTGAATTTGACATAGTAAAGTATTCCCGTGAATTTTCAAGTGGTTGTAGAACGTTCCCTAAACTTTCAAATTTGAATAAATTTTGCATGGCTTGATCTTGGTCAGTAATTATTCCATGAGGTGCCTGACCATGCGCACATTGTAGCCATGTTCTGAACAACTAGACAAAATTACTTGTATCTTCACTCGACAACAACCCACAACCAAGTAATGTTGACTGTCCATGATGTGACGCCAATGAACGGGGCGAACGACATGCCATACTTGGTTGTCAGGTACGTGGTATCAAAAGTAAAATTGCTAAATTCCTTATACGCTTGCCTACAACGATTATTAACCCAGAAAACATTTTTTAGTCAGGATTCATCGTCTAAATCCATACTAAAGTAAACTTCCGAGCACTGTGCTTGTATCTTTGCAAAGTATGCTTGTATTGCAACAGCATCCCCTTCACCAAGTCTTAAACACCTAACTTTTTCAATATAATTTCGACAATCTTTCTCAATGTAACTCAAGTTCTCATAACCATTTGCTTTGACAACGGCAGAATTGAAACTTTTATGCGACGAAATTTCAGCTAAATCATTGACTTCAAGTTTATGTTTCACGTGTGAACTCAATTCTCGGTTATATCAATATAACCTAGATTTTGATGGACTAGTTTCGTGATTGTGGTCGAGGTGGACCTTGTTAATTCTCCATACTCCATAAACATCTAATGATGCAGATATCCTGGCTTTGCAACCCATCTGTATTGTTGGTTGGGGCTTGAAAGAACCGCTACTATTACCGATTCTTTGACCTTCACGGCTACATGTGAAGGTTACATATCTCAACTCTTCGTCATCCCCCTTTTTCGAATTCCTTTTCTTAATCGGAAATCCAATTGCATAAGCATATTTCTTGTAGAAGTCAAACATGTCTTTTAACTCCTTAAACTCCATGCCTACCTAAGGCACAATCAAACCATCCCCCACTAAGTTTTCACCATCCACAACGTTAACGGAGACCGTAACAAACTCATAATTGAATTCAGCCAACATATCATCATGGTCGATCTGCACTTCGTCCATAGTAGCTGTCACACAAGTAAACAAGAAGTCACATAACCGAGGTAGATTGGGTTTAAATCCTAAATACGTAAACAAACGATAATCAATAGGAATCATGAGTAAAACAAATGACATTCAATACGAAGACCAAGAGCTTGAAGTCTAGACTTAGAAGTGGCAAGTCCACTAACTTTAATATATATCTACGAAAAGCAGGAGCCGAAGCCCAGTCTTATGAAGTGCCTACTTCACTAACTTAAATATATACCTACTGTATACTATATGGGAGAAATATTTTCGGATTCGTAATCAAAGTTTGCCAATTTATATTTATGTCTCCATGTGTGAATCCAAATGCATTACTCGAGTCTCTTGCGCTTGTCATGATAACACAAGCATCTGATTACTTCTTTCTTTTATCATCATCATTACATGATATCCCAACCCAAAACCAAAGTATTCAAATATAATGAGAACAAAAACGAGTGGTCCAAGTCTGATCCATTTAAAGCCATCTTTAGCAACCTAACTAATTTCGGTGGTCCAAGCATATTTTTGAAAGTTTTCTGTAATCTCGCTAGGCAAACAAGCATTTTTGGATAATAATGTCATACACAAAATCAGTTTGTCAAAAGGAAGTTGCTCCAGGAGTTTTTCTAAGTTCTCTATTATATGTTTAACAAAGTTCATCCCACAATATTGCATTCAAAGCAGGGTAGAATGGTTTTCCTATTCCACATCAATTTTTTATACCTCTCCAAAAGGGGAAATTAAGGCACGAAACTTACTTGCAATCCCGGGTCGAAGGCAGGATCTTTAACACAAAGAGGAACATGCTTCGGGTCCATCGAATTGTGGATTTTTGGTCTTCACAACCACATGAATGTACCATTCGTTGACGTCAAATCTTCGAGAACAGGAAGAGGAACGTGCTTCGGGTCCGTCGAATTGTGCATTTTCGATCTTCACATCCACCTGAATGTACCGTTCGTTGGCGTCAAATCTTCGAGAACGGAGAGTTCTTACACAACTCCTGCCTGAGCTTCAGGTTTGTCACCGGATTGCACCACACTTCCCGGGAAATTATTGTCGGGTTGCAATATGCCAGCAACTGGAATTATTGCAAGAAGGAAGCGTTGTTTTAAGGGTGCATAATTCAATTAATTTCGTGCCCTAGGTTTTGGTTCACCTCTCATGCGTCACTCACGTGCGGCCTTAAGTTCTCTCCAATTTCACTTGCCACGTTAGAGGTT